TATAATTAATACAATATCTTGCTTAGCGTCTTGGTCATATAGTCTTATATCTGAAGTCCCTTTTTTCTTCTAAAAGGAGTTTCGTGAAGAAGGAGACAGAATTGAGGAGTACTTCAGGAAGTTTTCTAATGGCGGCACCTTGGTAACCCTTGTCCCTAACAGTATAGAATCATTTATATATATGAGTATGTACTCCCACACCTCATATACTAGTTGGACGAGTCGGTTATACCTTATTAGCAATTTCTAATACACTTTGTTAGAAACGACCAGATACCGCAAAGTGAGTTCTGTACAAAAATTGTTCGAGTCCATATATGTGTATATAGGAAAAATAATCCTACTACCGCATGTCTCTAAACCCATGTCAGGTAGTATATATATAGTATTTTATCATTTAAAGTATTTTCAGGACCATTTTTTATGTAACTTTGAAGCAAACTACATGAAAAAAATTGTGAGCCCATAGTTTGAGGAATATTTTGAAATAGCTTCATAATTGTAGATAGGAAAAAAAATATTTTTTAAATTGTACATCAACAAAACGTAGTATATATAGTACCTAAGCAGCCTGATAATACATACTCTTCGCCTAGTGTCGAAATGGCCTGACCTTTCTTTTCTTTTTTTGCGGTGAGCAGCACATGGGGTTAGCAACAATATTTCGAGGTTATATTTGCATGATCGCTAAAAATTCTGTGAGGCTGGCTTCTATTGTCATGGTAAACTAATTGTTTCTGGTAGCATTGATTTCTAACACAAATTCTCTGCTAAACACGATGACAATATCTTCTACTTTTCTCTCTGATATGATTACAGGGTAAGCCAGGCATAATTTCTGAAGATGCACGTCTCACCACACTGATGACTCCAAGAAAGGGAGAAAAGATGGTAACACAATAGTACTGTTTTTGTATTCCATGAAAAATTGATGTGGTATATACACTATGGAGCACTAACTAGTTGATTGAACTCGCTCGGTACTAAAACATACTACCATATAGACTCTTGGGGTGTACGTGCGCAACTTTGTCAGTACAGCCGAGGATGCGTACAATGATAAGGTCACTGAGGAAACTATTGTTACCTTTCTTGGTGCTCTTCAAGGTGTGGCAGCAATGAGCTACTTCATGGCTCAAGACACCCTTGCAAAAATTGGTGATGATGAAGCTAGTTCACTGTACTGCGGTAAAGATTCTGTTTTCAATAGACCTTGGTTGGAGTACATGAGGAAAACAGACAATCTGAGACGTGAATTCAAGGCGGCTCCGCCACAACACCCGGACGGGGTAGGGTGAACTTCCGTTCGTTTGGCCGATTTCCTCTACTTTCTTTGCTGTCGTACTGACATTTTTGCATGGTCGCCGTGCAGATTGTGATGAATACGGTGACTGAAGCAATGAAACTCACGGAGTCCTTTGTTAGATTGATGACTGTTCGTCGCAGAACTGCACTACTAGGCCTTATCCCAAGTAAAAATATTATCTTCATGTATTTTGAGTTGTCACCATCTTTTCTGTTGATGTTAATTTTTGCCTCCCCTTGCATGGCGGCAGCTGTCACCACAGGCTCGGCGGTAGCAGTTTGATGGCAAACCATATCTATGCTTCAGAAAGAGAGTCACAAGTTCCTTGGAAGATTAATTGCAAGTCTGAATCGGATCAAGTTTACCCATATGCAATACATGCAACTTTGTATTATATTAATACAGTTTTCATGCGACAGTTCAGGTAGACAATATAGGCAAGACAGACTAGAGATCTCACAGTTAATCCAAAGGATCCGTCTAGGTCTCAGTCGACATAGACTTTGCTATGTCTGGTCCTGTTTGATCATAGTTTCTGATCGCTGGTTTATGATGTTTGCTTGTTGGGCTTGTTTGTGGGCTCGGTTGTCCTTTGTCTGCTGTTTTCTGTGATGGGCTGGCTTGCATTTGTATTTTATCTCTGTCAGTTAACTGTTCATGCATCATTAATGTTTTTCAAGTTGTCGTGCATGGTAAGATTAGCTGTTCCTGCAGCTTGTGCGTGTTGGTGTTGTGTTCTCTCTCTCTCTCATTCTGTTCAAGTCTTTTTTTCTCCAGTTCCTTCAAAATAGAAATGACAGGCATGCAAATTGCACGTGGTAGGCGGACATGCTACTGACATGTGTATAACTCCATTGGCACTACTTTTTAAAAAGAAAAAGAATGTTAAGTTGCACATGGACAGTGGACGTGCAATTGCGCATGGCCGGAGTACATGCAACTGTGTACGGACCATGCATGTGCTAATCGAATGTTAAGTTGTACGGTCCGGTGCGACACTTGCAGTTGCATGCCTAGTGTCAAACATGCAACTGGCCCGCCCCCTCTCCCGTCGCCCCCTTCGACAAAACAAAGGTCTAGTTGCAACCATGTTGGGGGGAATACAGTTGCGGCCGGGTGCGGCGCTTGTAGTTGTGGGGCTGTTGTGGGGCTTGCAACTGGCCAACCCTCTCCGACGGAACAAAAAAGTCCACTTGTGGTCGGGTTACAAGATATGCAATTGCGGTCGCGTGCGACACTTGCAGTTGCATTCCTAGAGTTGGGCATGCA